TTAAAACAAGAATATTAACTCAATAGTACTTACCTGACCCAATTGCAACATGTTGTGGTTTTTGACCTAAAAATTATTATCATGACATGACATAAATCTACATGGCAAAATCCACTCTTTCATTCATATATATATATATATATATATATATATATATATACTTATATGCAAATTTTTATTCATACATATATACAATTTGACATAGGTACTATGTATAAACGAATACACACAAGAAGATTTCAATCGATAATAGAAAATACAATTTTATCACAGAATATTCATATCAAATTGTCATTGTTATATTATATGTATGTATATATATAATACATATATAAGTATATCTATAGTATGTTTATAGTGATATAGGTTTAAAATGCTCCTTCATAATAAATACCAAGTTAAATGGATTGAAGATAATCATCGAAATTTTTGTAGCGGAAAGTGTCAATAATGCAATTTAAATGTCAACTCGAAAAATGCTACAGTTTTGAAAATATATGAGAAAAAGAAAGAAAAAAAAAACAGAAAAATTATATGCAACAAGAATTTTATTCGAAAGGATTTTGGATTTAAATTTCATAAATTTCCTATACCGAACACACAAAGTACTCTCGAACATTACCATATTAAAAAGAATACAATAGAAATTATGTATGTATGTACATATATTTTTTTAAAAAAAAATAATTCCATATACATAGCTAGTAGATTGAAAAGTGGATAAAAAAAATTCAGTAGGTAATAATAATTTTTTGTGTACACCGCTATATGTACAACGTGTGTTTATGTGCAAATTATTCATGATTTATGATGTGATATGAAAAATAATTGATATGAAAATTGGCTTGCTGGATCATAAATGTAATTTCCTAATATCTCGAATATTTTATATAGCAAAAATAAAACGGAAGAAACAATTTTTTATTTTTGTGTATATGTTTGTTAGAGGCTAAATTTAACATTAGAACATCAAGCAATGTACAGGATATTTTATCATAACAAAATATTATTTAATTTACAAAGTAAAATTTCAACTAAATTGAAAATTTTTTAAATTCAATTCTAAAAATAGTTTTGGTAAAGACAAACAAGTAGTTAAGATAAAAAGACTTTAAAATATTAAGTTTATTTTATTTTTAATATTTGGCGAGATTATAATCAGAGCCAGTATTTTTGGCTCTAATTAAACAGGGAATTTGTATTAAGCTGTATTATTAAACCAGTTTAAGTATTATTTTATTCAGCCTTAAAATCACCGGGTCCTACAAATAGTACCTAAGTTTATTTTTAAATATTTACTTCAATAACAGAACAATTTTGTATAATTTGTAAAAGGAGTACAAACATTATCATCCGAAATATTTTAACATAAATAAAATATCACTGGGCATTACGTTCAATATTTTTCTATTTAATTTTGCATTTTTGTTTATTACAGTAGGGTTAAACAATCCTATATGATATGTTTCATATGTTACATATAGGAAAATTGACAAGTTTCTTATAAAAATATAAAAGCATTAATTTATTTTCATATACCATTCCATATTAACAACATTTCATATAAACAACATTTTTTTAAAATTGTACTCTAGTATATTTTTTTGCTAAAACTTATAAGGCCCGGATTGAAACGAAAATTATGAAAATCAACATTATCAGCCGATTCCTCTAATGTATATAATTTTTCATCAATATTAAAATAATAATTATGAATACGAAAGGATGGGATGCTTTTTAATTATTCGGCATTCACACTAAAAATGTGAAATCTAACTATTTATGATGGAAATTTTCAATGAAAATTATATCCGACTTAAATGGATACTGAAAAAATAATAAACCGTTGAATTAAATAAACAGCTTTTTAAACTTTATTTAAAATATTTGAATCAAATATAAATATCATAGCTTGTATTGCTCGAAAAGCGCAGTTAACATCTTATGGCACGCAGCCATAAATGATGTTTATTATATTGTATTAGATTAATGTATTTATTGCCTGTTTTGTATTTGATCTTTAACTGTCTCTGGCAGTTTAATTAAACGTTTGGTGTACATATATTTTTAAAAATTGTACAAAACTTTATCTTTGAAGATTGTTTATGTCCTTTAATACCGTTTTAAATGATACACTCTGGAATAAAAATCTCATAGTAAATTGTGATATATCAAAACTTAAACCAGTTTGGTTTTTCAATTTTGTTTTCTGCAAAAGCCGGAAATTTTTGGTAATTATCGAAAAAAATTTAATTACGATATGTCTACTAAAATTCAAAATTATTTACAAATAAATAATATGTAAATGTTATAAAACAATAATTATGTTATTAATTTATTTATTGTAGAAAATATTCATATTTTTGATGTTATATTTATAATACTTATTAAAATAAATACATTTTATTATTTTTAACTCTATATCAAAATATGAAACTCATTTAAATTCTTTTTTATTTATTTTCATGTTACTTCACCTGAATTCCCTCTGGATATTGGAATCAACAACAATTATATCAAATTTTCAACAATATGATTAAAATTTAACAAAAATTTTTAATAACAATAATGACATCATATTATTATTATCCTAAATTATTTATAATAATATTCATAATCGTGACACGAATTTAACCTGCAATGAACCTGGAATTTTAAACACCAATGTCATCTATGAAAATTTTTATTTAAATGCACTGAATTTTCTTTTAATAATCACAACAATAAAAAACACATTATACAAAAATTGTATTCCCTAACAATATTGCTATTATAATGACGATAAAACTAAAATATTAACACAACTACAACAACAATGTTTCACTATGTATATATATTTTTAACTTGTACTCAAATCTCGAATTTATATTGTATATATTATTATTATTTCGTGATATCTCTCTTGTTATATATATTGCATGCCACTATCCGTCTCTCATATTATACACCATTTTTTTTTTCATTGTATTATATAATGTAAATCTAATGATGCCACTATTATTATTTTACCATAAACATGATCGTCATTTTATATTCTATTATTCACTTTTACATATAACTTATTCATTCCTTAAAAAAAAATATATATATATACATGTATACTAAATATTAATACTTTACCTTCCGGCTACTGTTATATACTAATACTAATGGGACATTAAAAATCATTAACCTCAAATAACATTATAATACAATGTTATAATAATAACAACAATTTACTGTCGACATCGGAATTTTGGGGGTGGTGAACTCTCCTACATCTATTTCCCTTTCTCTTTTTACTTTTTCTAAAAATAATATACTCATTCTGTCTTATTCGTTTTCATTCTACTTTAACCATATTTAAAAACTTATTTTCAACAATATAATGTTTCTATAATGATAACAACAATATTATAATACTTATATTTTTCATATATACATGAACTATTATTGTCGTGTTAAAAATTTTACTTTTATATTATAATAATAATAATAATAATGGCAATAATAACATTATAAAATTGTGATGATGACATTATGGTGAAAAAAAATGATCTTCGTTCTTTGTTTCTACATACTTTTCATTTATTTTTTGTTATATATGATTTTAAATGTATGCAACAACGTTATTATAATATTATATCGCTTGCATTTATTATAACAATAAAAACAACAATAATGGTAAACATGAATTAAAACAATAACAACAAATTTTACCACAAACTACTACAAAACTATTGCAATGGAAATTAAAAACAAAAAATAAAAACAAAAACCATGTAACTAAAAAACTTCTGATGATGACTTTATGTTTTGTGATGTCCTGATTTCAATATATTCTGCATCCTTTCTGTTATTAACTTTAACCTGAAATATTTTAAAATAATATTCATATTGTTTTTCTTTCTGTTAAATATTATTCTTAACTATATGTATAATACTTTTAATTTTTTTAAAATGGAAAATTATTGTACAATAATAATAAAAAATAACAATAATTTTTACTGTTATTATATATGGTAACAACAATGGTATGGAAACAACAACAACTATCAAACAAATTTTCATTATACATGATTTTCTTATTGTTTCTTGGTTTCTCTTTTCTTGTTTTTGTTCATAAATCCGAAAATGTTGAATAAAATCCGGGTTTCTTATGTTGGAAAATCCTACTGTATTTACCTTCTCTCTTTATAATTTCCATATCAAAAATTAAAAAACATTTTAATTATACGAATGTGGTCTTGTAAAACAAAAAAAAAACAATAACAAACTCTTACGTCACTGTTCTTGCTCTTCTTTTCATACACATAATTTATATACATATATCTGCATAAATGTGTTGGTTTGCAACTCCTACTCATGAATTCATAATAATGCATCTTTTCTATCCATACTACCAATATACTGGCTACATTTTCACATTTTACTTTTTAAAACTCTGCTTAAAAATGCATACATTTTCCAATATAACAATTTATATGTGTAAATATTTTTTTTTAAATTCCTATAATTGTTATATATTTATACTTGTTATATATATTATTTTACCTATACATATATCTTATAATATTTATATTGTATATTTAAAACACATTTAAAACCATAAAATACCCAACTATATTTAAAACTAACAAAAAAAAACAAACATACAAACAAATTTATATATTCCTGTATATCCTGGAAATATTTATATATTTATTTCTTCTACATATATTTATGCATTCTGTATGACTTGGGTTGCTATCGAAAAAAAATGTATACGTGCATGAAAAAATAAAAAAACAACCACTGTACCCAACTTTATTCAACACACTGCAACTAAATACTGTCACAAAATATTTAAATGCATTTTTATAATAATTATACCACACTTTACATATATAAACACTTATGTCATACACATTATATTAAATACATAATATAATATGAAAAAAAAATGTACGGTTGTGTTTACTATTACTTCTAATATCTATGTAATATATATATATACGTATATTATTATATGTTTAGTAAGGACAATTGATGTTGAAGCTGTTGAAGGTAGAATGGTGTCATTATCCTGTCCAATAGCAGCACCTTTAGATGATGTTTATATGGTTTTATGGTTTAGAGATAATGCTGGTATACCATTATATAGGTAAGTGGAGTTTTCTTTTTTATACACTGTTATATTTGCAGTATTGTTTATTTTTATAAAATTAGCAAATAAATACATATAAAGCAAATATTTATTGAAAATATAAAATAAAATACTATAAAATGTTTATAAAAATTCTTTAAAAATTGCTATAAGTATAAAAATAAACAATTGTTACATATATTTTCACAATTCTTTAAATATTATACTAACATATTTGAATTTTACATTCAAAAAACATTGAAAGTTCTATTATAATCTTTAATTTTTTTTTATATGAGTATTAAAGAACCCAATTAAAAATAAAACAATTTAGATCTACTTATATATTTCTAGCAAATGCTACCTCAATTATGTTATTCCTAGAACAACAATTAACACCAAAAAAATTCGAATCAAAATGTTGGGTTTTAAACTAGCTTTTTTGGCTTCCGGCTGCCAGTTACTTAATGCTCTTATTATCATGTCCATAGATACAGGTGTACCTGTAAAAAATTTCTCTGTAAGAAAAAATGCATGTTTAAGAAACTTAAAAACTGAATATAATTAGTAAATAATTTTATGAGAATTTGTAATATTTATTTGAAAAATAAAAAAATATATTTAAAAACACCTGCGCAAATTAAACACGGTGCCGAAGAACACCACCATTTCACATATTTTGATTTTATTTGGATTGAAGCGTACTTTTTTTAAAATTTTTTTTTCTTTTTTTTTTTTTTACCGAGAGGAAGGGCGAAAAATCTCGAAAGACACTGCCAGACGAAAAGCAGTAGTGTGGAACTTTAATCCACTAAAAAACACCCTCCTCAAAATAAACTATAAAACTAGTCGGAAACGACTAAACATTAATTTTGCTCTAACCTTTTTGATTATTTACAAGCTTTTGATCTGGCACAATAGCGTACTAAGTACTCATTGTTCCAGATAAAAAAACTCTCAACTAACTCGAGAGGTCTTGTACTTTTAAGTCTCCTAACAAAGTTTTGATTGTCAACCAATCGAGCCGCCTCGATATTGACATGATTGGATAAACGCATTTTATGATTGGCTGCTTGCTTTTTAATTTCGTCTGTGACACTTAGGATCGTGAGATCCCTGTGTATATCGGCATTTCGGACACACCAAGGGGCGTTTACAATGTCCCGTAATACTCTATTTTGAAATCTTTGTTTAGATTGGATATGAGTCTGCGCAGCGCAGCCCCATAACTGAATACCGTAAGCCCAGACAAGCTTAAAAATTTGATTAAATATCAAAACTTTGTTGTATATTGTCAATTTGGAACGCCTCCCCAAAAGCCACTCAAACTTTCTGTATTCCTCCTCTAGTTGAGATCTCTTTTTCTTTATGTGCTCCTTTCATCTGAGCTTCACGTCCAACGTCATTCCCAAATACTTCGCTGTGTTTGCAGACGGAATCAAGACGCCATTTATTCGAACCGAAAATGAATTGTCAATTTTCCTATTAGTGAAACTTACGTGTACTGATTTCACCTCGTTAAGTTTTATATTCCACTTTCTAGTCCATTTTGAGATCTCATCACTGGCCCTTTGCAATTTTTGTGTAGATTCATTTTCATTTCGTCCTATTGCGATAACTGCTGTATCGTCAGCAAATGTAGCTCTTGTCACTAATTCCGATTCAGGAATATCACACGCATATTGCAAGTATAGTATCGGGCCCAATGTACTCCCCTGTGGTACCCCCGACCTGATATCCCTAAGCGAAGAGTACTCCTCTTCCTGTTTAACTCGAAATACCCTATTAGTCAGGTAAGATTCGAGCAGGTCAACATACTGCCTTTGTAGTAATCGCCTAAGTTTTTTTTATTAATCCACAATACCAAACCTTATCGAAGGCCTGGGCTACGTCCAAAAATATGATAGAACATATTGTTTTTCCTTCCAGAAAATTTTCTATTAGGTCAGTTATTCTATGAATCTGATCTATGGTTGAGTGGTTCCGGCGAAAACCAAATTGATGATTCGGGATTAACCTTTTACTTTCAATTATAGGCTGAAGTCTTCTCAATAAATGTTTCTCTAGCAGTTTTGAAATCATTGGCAACAATGAGATTGGTCTATAAGAAGTCGGCCTGTCTATAGGTTTGCCAGGTTTGTGCAGCATGATTATCTCCAAATAACTTTCCAAATTTCAGGCACGTAATTGCACCTTGTGCACGCATTTATTAGGCGCGTAAGCTTCTTTATACCCCTTTTGTGTAATTCTTTCAAAATATCGGCCGTTATTAGGTCAAATCCTGGGGCCTTTTTAGGTTCAAGAGTCCTGATTTCTTCTATGGCCTCTCTTTCCTTGACAATTGGAATAGTCACGCTATCCCCAACAAAAGTATATTCCTCATTATCATCCACGCTCTGGCTGTCATGCGGGCAGAATATATCGGCCAAATGATCCGCAAACGCATTTGCCTTGTCCTTGTCAGTTTTTGCCCACGTTCCATCTTTGTTTTTGATAGGAGCGAGATGTTTGATAGGTTGCCTCATTTTCTTTGTTGTTAAACAAAATTTTTTTTACATAACAAAATTATTTGTTCTTGTAAATGGAATAGTTTTAAAACTCCAAATACTGCTTAATGGGAAGAATAAAATTTCAGGTACCCAATTTAATTGCTTAAATATGTAAAGAATGCTTAAGAATTTGAGTCGTTTAAAATGACGGTTTTCATAAAAACGAATTGTGGGCATTGCATACATTCAGGGGTAAGAAAAAAAATTAAAAAAAAAAACACATTAAATTGTTAGCTATAAGGTTAGGAAATCCAAGGACTCGAAAATTGAAATTCTCAAAAATTTTGTTATGTAAATCTTTGTGGTGAAATGAGATAGAAATAAGGATACATAAGGAAATGGTATACAAGTAATTACTCTTGTCCTCGAAATAAAAGAATTTTAAAAATTAAAATTGCAAAAATTATATGAAAAATGCGACTAGTAAACGGCTAATTTAAACACTTATTATAACGTATTAATAACCATATTTGTTTTTTTATGGTAGAAGACTAAAAGCCGCTCAATTTTTAGGCTTGGCGAAACTTAAAAGGCCTTCGACAAAATATATTGTTAAAAAATTAAATTTTTAAAATTTCACTTAAATTTCTCGAAATAAAGTCAAATTAAATCTGTTTTACTTAAAAAAATTTCAATTTAAAATTCTTTTAAAATTATCAATTTCCATGAAGAAACTGAGTAGAAGGGAAAACGAAACTACACTGTTCAACACTGTATTTATTAAAGGATCATTAATTTAATACAAACAACATTTTGTAAAATAAAAATTTCAAAATTTTATTCAAAACTTAGGTAGCCAAATTAAAAAATTCCGAAAAGCATAATGTTAGTTACAAGTTAAAAATATACTAACAGAATTTGTATACCATGCGCAAACAAACACATATAGCTACTGTATTCAAATGTATATAAACTTTAAGGGTCTTTTTTAATAAGACAAGAAAAAAAAACATTGAATAGGTGAGTATAAATAGAAAATGCAACTTGAAAAATGCATACAATCTCAAATTAAATAAAAAATTTGAATTAAAAAAATAGGAAGGAAATTCATTCCCTGCACATATTTTAATCCTGCAAATTAAGTCCTTACCATTACCCTTCAAAAATTAGTGAACGGAAGCAAGGAATTAGAACGTTTTTTTATCTGTTTTTCTTTTTCCTCAACTTCTTCTATAAGTCTGTCAGTTTTTAAATTTAAATGTACTACGAATATTTCTTAGTACATTTAAATTAATCAAAAATTTTCTTGCTTTAATTTTTTTGCGAAGAGAAAATATTGCATTTTGTTAGGTAACTACATTTTCTATTGAGTAAAATTCTCCGAGGTTTAAAGTTATCCAATTTTCAGGAGAGTCCAATAGGTTTAAGATATGATTAATTCCTTATGCCTGTAGATACTTTGGCAAGAAAGACCTTTATTTCAACTAACTAGTAATAATTGCGAGCTGAAATTTTATATAATACGTTAATGAAAGAAATAATCAAAATGGAAAATTCGATTAAAAGCATTACATTATGTTTTTAATTCTCTAAATCATCTCTCATTCCTTTAAATTCAACAGCAAAATTTTCTAAAATTTGATTCCAAAACTCAACCAACAAAATTTTAAAGTACACATTTTTCTTTTCTAAAACTTTAATTTACTTTACACCTGTATAAGTTTTACAGCGCGTTCTATTATTCAAATTAAAATAAAAAAAAGAAAAACAAGAAAAAATATTCTTACACATTGTATTTGAATTCATAAATTATATAGAAATTTCTTTCGTTATAACCAAAAATACAAGTAGAGGCGCAGATATAGAGAATGCCTTTATTCTAAAATTATCTTTGTATATTAAAATTTGCTTTTCATTTTTTTTTTAAAGGAGCTTTCCTTTTAAATTTTTTTTTTTACGGAACTAACTAAAGTATATTTATGAAGGTTTTCCACATACTTGAATTATACACTCGTCATATAATAACAGAAAAATATATACAACAACCCAATTGTATATTTAATGGGTAAAACACGTACACACATACATCTTTACATTTACCTATTATTACACTTATATAGGTGTATAAAGATCTCTATATCATATTCTAATATTCCTTAATACAAAACCAAATATGCCTCACCATGTTCATCCTCAAAATGGGAACAAAAAAGAAAAATAAGAGAGAAAAAAAACGCTCTATCTAAAAAAAATTTTGTTTTTCTTTCATTTTCTTCTTTTTTAAAAATTCTCACACCAGTTTCTTTTATTTAAATTGCATAAAATGCAAGGGAATGAAAGAATTCAAGTTGCATAATATTTACAAAACATGCACATACGTATGAATGTTCTTGTGTATACGCTTATTATATAGATTATATTTTTACACTCTACAATCTACTTTATTCAAATATTGGGGTTTTCTTTACAGTTTTTTTTTTATATAGGGTAACAGTGGTTTTTATTGTAGAACTTGTATTTTAATAAAAT